CGGAGGTGGCTTATCTTCCTGATGGAGTTGAGGCCACTATCATGGATGCATCCAAGGCAGATTTAATTGATGAAGTGGCCAAGTTGAGGAAACAACTATCTGAAGGTCAGAAGGAGCTAAGCTCACTCAAATCCCACATCTCCTCTCCTCCCAATCCTCTTGGCAATGCCGCTGCCGTCCCACATGCCTACCCTCAGCTGTTGGGCCTCTCGGAAAGAACAAGGAAGGACCACACAGAGTTGATGCAGTATTCAAGGAGCTCCTTACAGTTCCAGCCATGGATGACGTCAGCTCAGCTCACCCCCAAGATTTTCAAGATTTTCAAATTTCAAACCTGCATCAAGAGGAGTCACATCAGTGTAAGGAAAAAAGTTCTAGCCCTAACCTACTTACCCATGTGCCTTCTCTTTGTCCCATACAGAATGGTCAAACTGTTGAACCCCCTTTGTTTTCCTCTGATGATGGCCCCACACCTGCTCAGCAGGCTGATCCCACTCCCACGCAGTCCCACAGTCTGCCAAATGGGCATTGCCCTTCCCAACAGGTTCCCACTCAAGCAAATAGAACATGGGCTGACATTGTTTTGCAGGCACCTCCAACCCCACCATCGAGAAAGATGAATTTTGAATTTATCGAGCCATTGAGGACTGAGAATGGCACCATTGTTGAGCTCCTATATGAAGTTAAAGTTGAGGGGCAACTGTCTTGGAAGGGCCTCCTGGCAGGTAGATTTGCATTGAAAAAGCCTTCCTTCAGCCATGTTAAGGAGACGGCTTTCAAACTTTGGAAATCCAAAGGGCTGGAGCATGTGTTTGCTGATGGTGGAGGCTTTTTCTACTTCAGGTTTGTGGATGACGTTGCTGCAAATACTGTTCTTGCATCTGGCCCTTATCATTTTGCAGGTAAATCCCTCCAGCTGCAGAGATGGAAGCCTCACCTGTCAAAAGAAATTGAGAAAGGTCAGTTGGTGCATGTATGGGTGAAACTGTTTAATATACCAATTCAATCCTAGACAGCTAAGGGTCTTAATTGTATTGCAAGTGCTGTGGGACGACCTTTGTATGCTGATCAATCCACAGAGGAAAGAGAGAAGTTAAAATTTGCTCGGATTTGCATTGAATTGGATCTCAATTCCCCTCTTATTCACTCATTCCCAGTGAGAGATGATGAAGGTAAATTGATTGACATTCTGGTTGAATACCAAGGTCTCCCCAGGTTCTGCATATCATGCAAAAAAGTGGGACATGTAGCACCCATGTGCCCTAAACCATCTGTAAATCCAAGACATCCCAATCAATGGCATCCTGTTCCTCCTAGGAAGGGGAGACTGTCGAGGCAACCAAATGGTCCTCCTCACATAGTCTCCCCTCCCCCTCATCAGATCACTTCATCTCTCCCACTGAACTCCACCACCGATCCACATATCACTTCCCCATTCCCAACTCCTATTTTACATCATAACCACTTTACCTCCCCTACTACATGCTCAAATCAACCCACTTCACTTCAAAAGAACAAACAGATTATGCCCTCAACCCAGATGGTTCCACCACAAATCCCTACTCCAACCTCCCAAGAACGCCCATCCCCAAAGAGAATTTCTCTCCTGCAGGCAAAGCAACTGGCCAGAGCTTTCCCTCATACTGTTATCAACACAAATGTTATCACTCAGGAGGCGTGCTCCACTTCCCATGCAATGTGCACCACAACCCCACATGATGATGAAGAGATTTTCCCAGAAGCTGTTGTTGTTCTTAATGACATAGATGCTATTGCTGTTGACAATGTTGAAAATGTTTGCTCTGATCAGTCAGTGTCTCTCTCCTCCTCTACAAATAGCCAGTCCAGTTCTGTAACATCAAAAGCGAAAAAAAACAATGCAAAGAACAAGAGAGGGATTAATGGCATGCATATGAATGTCTTTCCCCACAAGGGGTTGGGACTTCTGAGAGGTAAGCTTAAACCCTCTCCTAATGGTTAGTCTTGCAGCTTGGAATATTAGAGGCCTGAATGGCATCCCCAAGTAGCTGGAGGTGCGTAAGCTTATAGCATCTTTCAAGCTGGATTTGTTGTCAATTTTGGAAACAGAAGTGGCGCCTGAAAATATAGGGAATATTCATATGTTCATCTCCCCTAGATGGACTACCCTGCATAATTATGAATTCTCCAACTTGGGAAGAATTTGGGTTCTAGGAAACCCTGATATTGTCAAAATTAATCTGGTCAAGGCCACCAGACAGGTTATTCATTGCTCAGTCACTCTTATTGCTGACAACTCTCAACTATTTGTGTCCTTTGTCTATGGAGCCAATGAGGATGTGGCTAGAAAGGAGCTGTGGGACAGTATTAATGAGCATTATACTCTATTCTTAACCTCCCCATGGGTTATTGTTGGTGACTTTAACATCATTAACTCCCCTCAAGAGAATTTTGGAGGCTCTCAAAGATGGACAGCAGCAATGTATGATTTCAGAGACTGCCTTTATCATTCACAGCTAGAGGACTTAAGATCCTCTGGAATTCAGTTTACCTGGAATAACAAGAGTGTAGGACTTGCTAATATTGCAAAAAAGCTTGACAGAGCTCTAATTAATGAAAAGTGGATGCTTGCCTATCCCATGTCTGACTGACTGCACTTTTCTTCCTCAGGGTTTGTCAGACCACTGCCCTATATTAATCAAGTTGGGCTCTGCTTCTAGGCCAAGGAGGATCCCCTTCAGGTACTTCAATGCTTGGGCTTCTAACCCCAATTTTCTTACTACAGTGGAGTAGGTCTAGTCTTCCCCTAGTCTGGAACTACAATGTTTCAAATCATGCAAAAGCTCAAGGCCCTCAAGGCTGCTCTTAAGCTCTCATGCAGACTGGAGATCTCTCAAGCATCAGCAATGGTGACTCAATCTGAGCAGGCTTTTGCATCATGCCAAACTCTACTTGATTCCAACCCTAGAGATGTGCAGTTGAGAGAGTAGGAGAAGGCTCTTATGCTTCAATTCTCTAAGCATGTTCTTGCTGAGGAGCAATTCATCAAACAGAAGGCCAAGGTAAGATGGCTTAAGGAAGGTGACTGCAATTCAAAATACTTTTTCAAAAATTTCAATTCCAACATCAATAGAAGGAAAATTACATGCCTCACATTAGGGAATGGGGACCTCATTGACACTGAAAATCTTGTAACAGCAGAGGTTGTGTCACACTACTATTATCTCTTAGGTTGTTCTCCTCCACACTATCCAGGGATCCATGCTCCTCAACGTTTCATCACTAAAACAGTCTCATCCTCTTATATGCCAGTTCATAATGTTATCCCATCAGAGGCTGAGATACAAACTTGTTTTCTCTCCCTGAACAAAGATAAGTCCCCTGGACCTGATGACTTCAATGCCTATTTTTATCATAGTGCTTGGTAAGTGATTGGAAGGGATGTAATTCACGCAATTAGGAGTTTTTTTAATAGTGGTAAGCTACTCTGAGAGGTGAATAACTCCTATATTGCTCTAGTCCCAAAGTCTCCCAACCCTGCTTCCCTCCAAGAATTTTGGCCTATCTCATGTTGCAACACAATCTACAAGTGTATTGCTAAGTTTCTTGCTAATAAACTCAAACAGGTTCTCCCTTCCATCATTGACCCTTGCCAAAATACTTTCGTCAAAGATAGGCAGATTGGGGATAGTGTTCTGCTGGCACAAGAATTGCTTCATGGTTACCATAGGTATCTCTCTCCTAGGTGTGCTATGAAGGTTGATCTAATGAAGGCCTTTGACTCAGTTGGGTGGGATTTCATGCTAGACACTCTAGCTTTGTTTGGTTTCCCTTCCCCTTTTTTGGACTGGATCAAGGCTTGCATCACCTCTTCATCCTACACAATTGCACTTAATGGGGAATTTCATGGCTATTTTCAAGGGGTTAAGGGGCTGCGACAGGGGGATCCACTTTCTCCCATGCTTTTTGTAATAGCTATGGAAGTCTTCACAGCCATCACCAAAAAGTTCATTGCCAACAATGCAGCCTTCAAGTACCACTCAAGATGTAAAAACCTTTCCATATCCCATCTTATCTTTGCAGATGATCTCCTGCTTTTCTCTCATGGTGACCTATCTTCTATCTCTACACTTAAACAAGCTCTTGACCACTTCTCTGCCCTCTCTGGGCTTTGCATCAACAGCCTAAAGAGCTATTTTTTTTTTGTCTGGGGTTGATGACTCACTCAAAGATAATATCAAGACTCTATTTGGATTTGATTGCGGCTCCCTTCCCATGAGATACTTGGGAGTCCCACTAATTTCTACTAGACTTACTGCTGATGACTGTAGGGGACTCGTAGAGAGAATCACTAGAAAGATTAATCACTGGTCCACTAATTTCCTTTCTTATGCAGGAAGAATTCAGCTAGTCCAGTCAGTGCTATATAGCATGATTAATTACTGGTCTAGCATTTTCATCTTACCTAAATCTGTTCTTACGAAGGTTAACAAACTTCTATGTAATTTCCTCTGGTCAGGCACTGATTTTAAGCACACAGGGGTTAAGGTGAACTGGGCAGCATGTTGCCTCCCTAAAGAATGTGGGGGGCTTGGTTTCATAAATTTGGAAGTGGCAAACACAGCTGCAGGGCTTAGACACATCTGGACCCTAATGGCTAATCCAAGGAATAGCTTATGGGCTCAGTGGGTAAGGATACAGCTTATTAGAGATCGCTGCTTCTGGACTATTGGTGGTCCATAGGCTTGTTCTTCAAACTAGAAGAAATTGTTCCACCTGAGGGGTTTAGCAAGGTCTATGATCAAATGGAAGATTGGGAATGGATCTACAGTCTATTTTTGGGATGATTTCAAGCTACGAGATGGTCCCTTAGCCCTGAGAGTGTCTAGAGATTACATAACCAGCTCTTCCATCTTACCTGACCAAAAGTTATCTGCATTTATTCATATGGGGGACAGTGGCTCTTTCCACAGTCAATAATCAATCTATTTCCGAAATTAGCTAGTATCGACCCTCCAAGCATGACTGTTGATTCCTCTGTATGGGCGCCTTCATCTACAGGTTCATTCTCAATCAGTCACACCATTGATTGGTTATCAACACAACAACAACAAAAATCATGGACTCACCTTATTTGGAATAATTTCTCGATCCCAAGATGCAAATTTTCTCTGTGGCTCGCTGTTCAGAACAGGCTGCCTACTCTAGATCACAGTTGTATGAGATCATTCCAAGGCTCCAGAACGTGTCCATTATGCAATTTGGTTGAGGAATCCTATAATCATCTGTTCTTTGCGTGCTCTTTTACAAGGCCAATATGGATATCACTGCAACATAAAGGTAGATTTCATTTCTCCCCCTCCTCCTGGACTGAGCTTGTTGACGGAGTTTCAACCAGATGGTCAAGGAGGGATTTGGGATCATCGGTAAACAAACTTCTGTTTTCCACAACTGTCAACAAAATTCGGCTAGAGCGCAACAATTGGATCTTCAACAATCGAAAATCTTCACAAATGACTGTCTTCAGGGAGATCACTGCCTTGATTCGGGAAAAATTGCTTACCTTATCTGTCAAAGACTCTCTACTTGCCAGAAGATTGAAATTAGACTGGGACTTGCCGGCATTCATTCGCCCACCACCGGAACCTCCTGATCGAGCCATGTAGTGGCGCAAGCCTTTCCTGCAAATCTCACCGGATGTTTTTGATATATATAGCGTGTACATGAATAGTCTAGGGTTTCCTAGACTAATAATGTCTTTGTCTATATTGTTGGGCTTGGGCCTGCTGTCCAATTCTTTTGTTTATCCTTGGTTTGTACCCTTTACTGTTTAGTTGGGATAGTCCACGATCGTGGGCCTCCTCCGCAACTGGGTTGTAAATCTTGTTTCTATTTTTCTATAAAGCTAACTTACCTTCGAAAAAAAAAAAAAAAAAAAAACTTTCTCATTTTTGGGTATGTCAAAATACTAGAAAAATTGCTTCCTCAACATAATTAAGTTTTGCTTCAAACTCACGATTGTTTGGATATCTACTATGCCCCCTAAAAATTTTATTTACTAAAATTATATTTTTTTTCTTTTTTGTTCCTTTCTTTTACTCTTCAAATTTCTATAATTTTCTATTTTTAAAAAAGTTATATTCCAATTTCCTTTCATCAATAAAATCCTAATTTTTTTCTCTTTAAAATTCTCTTCTTTTTCTTTCTTTTTCTTTTTCTTTTTCTTCTTTTTTTCCACTTCTTAAAATTCTTCTTTTTGCACTTATGTATAATGTTTGTAACCTTTTTTTTTTTTTTTTTTGTCTCTTCTTATTTACATTTATTGTTGTAATTTTATGAACCCAATTTGCTTTCAAAATAAAATTATATTTGTCATGTTATTTGATTTTTTTTTTTTTTTCTTTTTTAATCAAGAACATTACGCCCCCTAAGATTAAATCATGACTCTGCCCTTGGCTATAAGCTTATGTGAATATATAGGAACATAATTTAAATTCAGTTGATTGAAAGACACATCGTTAGCACAGTCTCGTATTGAATCACAAACCTGATTGCCACTAATCCTCAAACCATCAATATGTCTGCATAGTTGATCAAACTACCGTTCTTGAGTATGTATGATTGTCCAAAGTGCTTGCACTCTATGATGATCATTACCAAGAGCTACCAAGATGATCAATCGCCATAGCAAGGCTCTGATACCAACTCACGAAGTGAAAATTATAAATGTTTGCAAAGAATAAGGAACAACTTTGAATACACAAAATTAAGTAAAAATTGCAAAGAAATATGACATATTATTAATAATTGAATAAATAATCCACGGTACATATATTTAAAATAAAAGAACCTATCAAGAAAACTAAATAAACATAAGAAAACTACTCAAAATTGAACTTTCTAAAAATTATAATAAATAAAATAAGACACCTATCAAGAAAACTAATATTCATAAGAAAACTACTCAAAATTGAACTTTCTAAAAATTATAAAAAAAGAAATAAATAAAATAAGACACCTAATCACTAAAAAAAAATACTAAATACCAAAATTCAAAATAATTTGAGTTTGTTTAGGCAATGAACAAAAATTTTAAAATATTCAACATGCTTCCTATAATACATAAAATCTTGATTTCGGAGTCCTAAGCAATTGAAATTGGTGGCAAAATGATATGGGTCACTAGCTAATGCTAATGGAATTTTTTATAGGGTCCATCCCGATCAAGAATGGGTTTGCTCCTTCGAGTTGAGACAAGTTTGTTGAAAATTATATCTTACATTACACACACTTGGATCCATTGTGGATCCTGCCACATCCACAATTCATTAAGGTCCTATTTAATTGGCAACCGTATTTTTGTTTTGACCTAAAACAAAAGCAGTTGTTTTGCTTTGGAATTTGTTCAATGTTATTCAGAAATATGTTTGGTAACGTTTATTTCCTGCAACATTTTTTTGAAGCAAAAACATAAAAATATATATGATAAAAAAGTATTGCAAGTTTAAAAAATAAAATAGTTAGTTAAAAACGTTTTAGTACTATTTAAAACACAGCAAATATTATCAAATATACTTTCGTGTTTTGCTTCACTATAATGTACTATTCGAAATAAAAGTAATTGTCAAACATGGCCTAATGTCACACCCCGCTACCAAGAGGCTATGCCACGCAGGCGCCACGCAGACGCCCAGCAGACGATGACATGAAGCCTGCATGACTGGACTTTTCTAGACTTCTCTACACAAGTATGGAACTTTCCGGAATTCTCTAGATTAGTGTGGAGTTGTCTAGCCTTTTCTAGACTTGTCTAGAGTTGTATAGAATTCTCTAGAATTCTTTAGACTTGTCCTGTACATAGTAGATAGTTCTAGAATTGTGTAGATATTTCTGGAGGATTCTAGACACTAAATCTAGGCCACACATTTGTACACATCTAGAATGTTCTTGTAAGGCCAAAGGCCTATAAATAAGAGGTGGGAGTTCATTTGCACCTCACCAAGCAACCAAGTTGTAATCACTCCTCTCAAGCAATACAAGTTCTATATATTCCCAAACTCTCTTGCTCACTTGCCTAACCTCTTCCTACACACCCAAGTAAGCAAAACACTTGTCTAGCATTAGTCTTCACTAAGTGTAAAACCCCTAATTTTGTAAAGGATATAATTGGAATTTACATTTTTATTTTTTGTGGTGACTATATGTGTTATGTGGTTTCTGTTTTGTGTTTAATTGGTTAATTGTTTTCTTTACTTGGATTGGTTGTGTAATTGGTTATTTTGTTTTTGTCTAATTATTTGCATTAATTGGTTAATTATTTTTTTTATGTTGTTTTATTTAATTAAATTAGTTTTAAATTTTTAAATGTTTTGTTAGGTTATTAATGTATTTCATTTTAATGTAAATTAGGGTTTTAGTTTGATGGACCACGTTATTGGGCTGATTAGGGTTTAGTTGGGTGTCCATCTCTAATGCAAATAGACGTAGGGTATATATGCCTATATATACTGTTATAAATCTGCTTAGGGTTAAAAGCACCAACCCTATTCACGAACAGTGAGCATATAGAGGGACGTGAAAACAGAGAGAGAAAACTGTAAGGAAAACAGAGGGATTTGTTGTTAGGGTTTCTACTACGGATTAAAGGATGGGCCTAGGAGGAGGGAAGGTTGCACAATAAGAGATTGACAATGAATTAGACGTCGTCGGAAAACCTTAGAAGACGGCGACAAGGTTTTTATTCAAAAACCACAGAGGCAAGTTCTATTCTGTCTCTCTCCCTTTGCCCTGTGTTCTGTGCACCTAGATAGTCTCTAGGGTCTAATTAATCATTAATTGAAACCATATATGTTCATTGTATGCTATATTCATAATCTGTATGTGGTGAAATTAACTTTGTAATAATTCGCACATGTCTGGGTTTAAATTTTGTTCTTTAAGTATGCTAAATCAGTACGGTTGTAAATACTGGAATTGGTTGCAACCATTGAATACAAAATATGGGAATGCTACTGGGATTATATATAAAACTCATGGGGTTAGTATTATCCTGTTTAAATATGTGTTGCAATTTATTCTATTTCAGTTCGTGCTTATTGAATTTCAGTGTTAGTCTTTAAGCATGTTTAATCGGTAGGTGTTCTAAGATTTTTCAATGATGCTAACTAGTGTAGCTAATGGATTAAATGATACTAGAAACACTTAGGACCCTTAAGATTAGTTTTAAAACCAAACAGAAAAGTTGCAACTGGCCGAAGTTGAAGCAGGGGTCAGAAACGGAGTGCAGTTGAGTAGGGGACTCTCAGAGGAGGTGAGAGCCGGCTCCATGGAAGTGGGAGCCGGCTAACACACTCTTAGAGCCGGCTCTAAGGTCCTTAGAGTTGGCTCCCATGCACAAAGACCCTGCTCCAAAATTTTGGAGCAGGCTCTCTCTCAAATTTTGTTTTCCAGTTACGTTTTGATGCACTGTTGAGACTGTTCGAAGGTGAAACTGTTCTAGGTAATTAATGGGACTTCACAGAGGGATTTAATGGGTGATTTAGGGTGTTATTAAGACCTTAAATTGATTTAAGTGATCTTTAAGTCAAGGGGACAAACAGTATATAATTAATGAACTTCTTATGCTGTTAACGGAGGGAAGACGGATTAATTGCTTAACTAAATTTTAGCAATTTAATGGGATTGAGTACGTTTATAAAACTTAATTTTAAATGCATAAAAAGGTCATTTACTTATTAGTTTTGATCTATGCACACTCTGGATGCTAATTGTAGAAGTATTAAATCTTTTTCTGCAATTAGATGGATTATTGGTTGGATTTAAATTGCTGGAATGTTAAACACTGTTCTGCAATAATTTGGGTAATGGTTTGGATTGTACATTGCTAAATTTTTATTTATATGTTGTAATTTACATAGATTTGGATTTAAATTGCTGAAATACTAAATACTCTTCTGCAATTATTTGGAATGGTTTGGACTGTAAATTGCTAAACTTTTATTTATATGTTGTAATTTACATGGTTTTGGATTTAAATTACTGAAATACTAAATACTCTTTTGCAACTATTTGGAATGGTTTTGGACTGTAAATTACTAACTATTATGTGTTTGTTGTAATTTACACGGATATGGAGGATTGTATGCACCGGTATGGGATGGTGACATACTAGGATGGCTTAGCTCAGAAACGCTAAGACCTACCCTATTGGAATAAGGGAATGGATTATAAATAAATCATACTTATATTTATGCTAAGTCAAAGAAGCTGCACAAGCTGAATGACTAGCTGGATTACTTGTTATCTTTGTTGAGTCAAAGAAGCTGCACAAGCTGAATGGCCAACTGGATTTCTTATGGATGGATTGGAACAGATTTTAAATATATTTTTATGGTACCACGATATGAGCTTGAGTTTCAGAGTCGTTAGTTAGGGCGCGTATATGCAGTGGATGCGTAGCTGGCTATGATGGGCTGAGGTGTACCTTGTTAGGTCTAGGTACTCATGCCCACCTTTGGGTGCGTTTTTGCATGTTGCCTTTTATCCAGGTTGAGACCCCCTATATAGTCCAGTGAATGTCCCTTAGTGTGGATATTTATATATATATGGACTAGATAGCTATTATTGAGATATATAGGGTGTATCTGCGTATCGGGTCATTGTATGG